AAAACCTCCAGTGAAGGAGCTTCCACAACCTCCCTAGGCAGCCTGTTCTATTGTCCTACTGTTCTTACAGTTACAAAGCTTTTCCTGAAATTTAATCTAAATTTGCTATGCTGTAGTCCCAGGGCCGGCTCCAGGCACCGGCCCAGCAAGCAGGTGCTTGGGGCGGCCAACGGAGAGGGGCAGCACGTCCGGCTCTTTAGCAGCAATTCAGCAGCGGGTCCCTCACCCCCACAAGCCCTGGAGCCGGCCCTGTGTAGTCCTGCCCTCTGTGGCAAAAAAAGAATAACTTTTCTCCATCTTTTTTGTGGCAGGTTTTCAAGTATTTGAAGACTGCTATCATGACCCCCTTAATCTCCTCTTTTTGAAACTAAACAAACCCAGTTCCTTCAGCCTTTGCTCATATGGCTTGTGTTCCATCCCTCTGATCATCTTTGTTGCTTGCCTCTGGATCCTTTCCAGATCCTACAGCCTTTCTATACATTGGTGACCAAAATTGGACACAGTACCCCAGCTGAGGCCTAACCAGTGCCAAATAGAGTGATACTATCATCTCCCGTGACTTGCAAGCTATGCCTCTGTTAAAGCAACCGAAAATTGCATTAGCTTTTTTGCAATAGCATTGCGTTGCTGACTCATGTAGAGGTTGTGATCCACCTCAGCTCCCAGATCCTTCTCAGCCAGTTCTCCCCCAGTCTGTATTTGTGCATTTGGTTTTTCTTCCCCAAGTGCAGCACTTTACATTTGTCTTTGTTGAATTTCATTTTGTTGTCTATAGCCCAGTTCTCCAGTTTATCAAGATCCCTCTGAATTGTAGCTCTATCCTCCAAAGTGTTGGCAACACCCCCTAGCTTTGAGTCATCTGCCAATCTGATCAGTGTGCTCTCTAGTCCTACATCCAGGTCATTAATAAAGATGTTAAACAACACCGGACCCAGAACAGATCCCTGTGGAACCCCACTTGAGACCTCCCTCCAGCCTGACATCATCCCATTAATTGTTACTCTTTGTTTGTGGTTGTTTAACCAATGTATCTACTTAATGGTAGTTCTGCCGAGGCCTTACCTATCAGAATGTCAGGTGGGACTGTGTCGAGAGCCTTGTCCACCACATTCCCCCTGTGCACCAATCCAGTTACCCTGTCAAAGAGGGAAATCAAGCTGGTTTGGCATGATTTGTTCTTGGTAAATTCATGTTGGCTGCTAGTGATCACCCCTTCATCCTCCAGGTGTTTGCAAATTGAATGTTTTATACATTGCTCTAGTAGCTTCCCAGGTATCTAGATTTGATTCTGACAAACAGGGAAAAACTAGCTGAGAATTTTAAAGCGGAAGGCTGCTTGGGTGAAAGTGATCATCAAATGATGGATCTCATGATTCTAAGGAATGGTAGGAGGAAAAACAGTAGAGTAGAGACAATAACGTCAAGAAGGCAGACATTAGAAGACTCAGAGAATTGGTAGGTAGAATCCCATAGAAAGCAGGTCTAAGGGAAAAAAAGAGTTCAGGAGAGTTGGCAGTTTTTTAAAGAGACATTATTAAGTGCACAGGAGCAAACGATCCTGATGCCTAGGAAGTTTGGTAAGAGCCCACCCTGGCGTAACCAGGAGATCTTCAACAACCTGAAACTCAAAAAAAGTCATACAAAAAGTGGGAACTAGGTCGAATTATGAAGGATGAATATAAAAAACAACACAAGCATGTAGGGACAAAATTAGAATGGCCAAGGCACAAAACGAAATTAAACTAGCTAGGGACTAAAGGGCAAAAAAGAAAACATTTTACAAATACCTTAGAAGCAAGAGGAAGATGGAGTAGGCCCCATTACTCAATGAGGCGGGAAAGACAATAACAGAAAATGCAGCAATGGACAAAATGTTATTTGCCCTTTTTTGTTTCAGTTTTCCCCAAAAAGTTAGCAGTGATTGAACGACTAACATAGTGACCATCGGTGTAAATGAGGTAGGATCTGAGACTAAAATAAGAAAAGAACAAGTTAAGAATTACTTTAGACAAGTTGGATGTCTTCACATAGGCAGGGCCCGGTTAAATACATCCTAGAATACTTAAGGAACCAGCTGAAGAAATCTCTGAGCCATTAGCGAGGATCTTTGAGAACACATGGAGGATGGGAGAGATCCCAGAGGACTGGAAAAGGGCAAATATAGTCCCTATCTATAAAAAGGGGAATAAGGACAACCCAGGGAATTATAAACCAGTCATCTTAATTTTAGTGTCCAGAAAGATAATGGAGCAAATAATCAAGCAATCAACTTGCAAACACCTAGAAGAAAATAAGGTGACAAGTAACAGCCAACATGGATTTGTCAAGAACCAATCAAGTCAAACCAATCCAATATCCTTCTTCGACAGGGTAACAAGCCTTGTGGATAGGGGGAAGTGGTATGTGTGGTATATCTTGACTTTAGTAAGTCTTTTGATACTGTCCCACATGACCTTCTCATAAATAAACTAAAGACATATAGACTACACAAACCTACTATAAAGTGGATGCAGAACTGGTTTGAAAAGCTTAATCAGAGAATAGTTATCAATGGTTCGCAATCAAGCTGGAAGGGCATAGCAAGTGGGGTCCCACAGGCATCTGCCCTTGGTCTGATCCTATTCAATATCTTCATAATAATGATTTTGCTAATGTCATAGAGAGTACACTTATAAATTTTGCAGATAATACCACCCTGGGAGGGGTCACAAGCGCGTTGGAGGACAGGATTAGAATTCAAAACAATCTTAAACTGGAGAAATGGTCTGAAATAAACAGGATGAAATTCAATAAGTACAAATGCAAAGTACTACTCTTAGGAAGGAATAATCAATTGCACAAATACAAAATGGGAAATGACTGCCTAGGAAGGAGTACTAGTGAAACAAGGTGGATGAGGTAATATCATTTATTGGCCCAGCTTCTATTGATAAGAGAGACAAGCTTTCTTTCCAGATCTAATGCATCCAAGGGTGCTAAGAGAGTTGGCTGATGTGATTGCAGAGCCATTGGCCATTATCTTTGAAAATTCGTGGCGATTGGGGGAGGTCCCAGACGATTGGAAAAAGGCAAATATAGTGCCCATATTTTAAAAAGGGAAGAAAGAGAACCTGGGGAACTACAGACCTCACTTTAGTTCCCGGCAAAATCATGGAGCAGGTCCTCAAGGAATCCATTCTGAAGCACTTGGAAGAGAGGAAGGTGATCAGGAACAGTCATCTTTATTAATGATCTGGATGATGGGATTAATTGCACCCTCAGCAAATTCGCAGATTACACTAAAATGGAGGAGGGGTATATATGCTGGAGGGTAGGGATAGGGTCCAGAGTGACCTAGACAAATTAGAGGATTGGGCCAAAAGAAATCTGATGAGGTTCAACAAGGACAAGTGCAGAGTCCTGTACCTAGGACGGAAGAATCCCATGCACTGCTACAGGTTGGGGACCGACTGGCTAAGCAGCAGTTCTGCAGAAAAGGACCTGGGGATTACAGTGGATGAGAAGCTGGATATGAGTCAGCAGTGTGCCCTCGTTGCCAAGAAGGCCAACGGCATATTGGGCTGTATTAGTACTAGCATTGCCAGCAGATCGAGGGAAGTGATTATTCCCCTCTATTCGGCACCGGTGAGGCCACACCTGGAGTATTGCATCCAGTTTTGGTCCCGCCACTACAGAAGGGATGTGGACAAATTGGAGAGAGTCCAGCAGAGGGCAACAAAAATGATTAGGGGGCTGGGGCACATGACTTACGAGGAGAGGCTGAGGGAACTGGGGTTATTTAGTCTGCAGAAGAGAAGAGTGAGGGGGGGATTTGATAGCAGCCTTCAACTACCTAAAGTGGGGTTCAAAGAGGATGGAACTAGGCTGTTCTCAGTGGTGGTAGATGACAGAACAAGAAGCAATGGTCTCAAGTTGCAGTGGGGGAGATCTAGGTTGGATATTAGGAAACACTATTTCACTAGGAGGGTGGTGAAGCACTGGAATGGGTTACCTAGGGAGATTGTGGAATCTCCATCCTTAGAGGTTTTTAAGGCCTGGCTTGACAAAGCCTTGGCTGGGATGATTTAGTTGGTGTTGGTCCTGCTTTGAGCAGGGGATTGGACTAGATGGTCTCCTGAGGTCTCTTCCAACCCTAATATGCTATGATTCTATGATTCAAGCCACAAAGAACTCTTCTTCAGGTCAGTTCCTTCAGGTCAGAAGGAATACTGCAGAAACAGATGTGGGGGTTATGATCACAATCCTAAAGTGAGTCAACAATGTAATACTGTTGCTAAAAAAGTGAACATCAGTCTGGGATGTATTAGCAGGAGTGTTGTAAATAAGACACAAGAAATAATTCTTCCACTCTACTCAGCAATGATAAGGCCTCAACTGGAGGACTGTGTCCAGTTCTGGGCACGATACTTCAGGAAAGACGTGGACAAATTGGAGAAAGTCTGGAGGAGAGCAACAAAAATTATTAAAGGTCTAGGAAAGACTGAAAAAATTGGGTTTATTTATTTGGAGAAGAGAAGACTGAGGGAGGGACATGATAATAGTCTTCAAGAATGTAAAAGTTTGTTATAAAGAGGAAGGTGATAAATTGTTCTCATTGACAAGAACAAGAACAAATGGTCTTAAATTGCAGCAATGGAGATTTAAGTTAGACATTAGGAAAAACTTCTCAACTGTCAGGATAGTTAAGCACTGGAACAAATTACCTAGGGAGATTGTGGAATCTCCGTCCTTGGAGGTGTCTAAGAAGAGGTTAAACAAACACCTGTCAGGGATGGTCTAGATAATGCCTAGTCCTGCATCAGTGCAGGGAATGGACTAGATGACCTATCAAGGTCCCTTCCAGCCCTACCTTTCTATGATTCTGTGGAAGACTAACATGGAAGTGCCTGAGGGGACCCTAGTGAATGTTGTACAGCCTGACCTGTTGGAGATTAATAAAGAGTCTATCAAAGATGCCAAGGTGAATGGCAAAGTGTGCCAAGGCTCTATGATGCAATATAGGCTCTGTGGTGCAATGGATAGCGCATTGGACTTCTAGCTCAATGATAAGTGAAGCTATTCAAAGGCTGTGGGTTCAAGTCCCACCAGAGTCATATTTTTTTCACGCAACGCACTGTCAACCTCTGGAACTCCTTGCCAGAGGGTGTTGTGAAGGCCAATACTATAACAGGGTTGAAAAGGGAGCTAGATAGATTCATGGAGGATAGGTCCATCAATGGCTATTAGCCAGGATGGGCAGGGATGGTGTCCCTAGCCTCTGTTTCCCAGAAGCTGGGATTGGGTGACAGGGCATGGATCACTTGATGATAACCTGTCTGTTCATTCCCTTTGGGGCGCCTGCCATTGGCCACTGTCAGAGGACAGGATACTGGGCTTGATGGACCTTTGGTCTGACCCAGTATGGCCGTTCTTATGTTCTTAAGGTTGGAGGAATACTGGTGCCCAGAGTTCACTGGTCAGAAAATACACGGTTATGGAAATTGTGATGCCCTCCAGGGAAAATGTAAAATTCCTTGCATTGGGAAAATCTGAAACCACTGTTCCCTGAGTTCAAGTAAAGTTGGCGTGGGAAGGTTTAAAAGGTATTTAACTGCTAGTATACTGGATAGCATTCCAGCAGATATACTATGGTACTGATCTCTTGTCTCTGTGTAAAGCTGTTAATATTATAACTCGCAGGAAGAAGAAGTGTAACTCCTGAGTACCCAGCCATGGACCCTGCAGAGGGCAGGGCAACCACTGCTCCCTTAGCAGCAGGCAGTAACCCCCATGTCTTCAGAGGAGGGAGTGGAGAAATCAGCTTCTTTGTGTGAGATCTCCGGGTCTGAGCACAAGCCCAGCAATGTTTGCCCCAGAGCAAGATGCTGGCCCTTCTCTAGGAGGCATAAGGAAGGCTATTGGCAGAGATGCCCCAATAAGGAAAGCAGGGGTACGCTCTTTATGCAGGAGGGCAGGCTATACAGGGAAGCCCAGGTGGGTAAGAATAGGGGTCTGGGAGCACCCTGAAGACAGGTTTTGTGCTCCAAAGGTATCGTGCAGGGCTATTGAGGTTAGCGCACGATGGCCCATTTGTGGAGGGAAAGAATTTTTGAAAGGCTTAAGGAAAACGTTTATTGGCCTCATATTCTTGATGAGGCAAAGGAGTATTGTAGGCCATGTGACTTACATCAGAAGCGGAAGGAACCCAACTGTCTCCACAAGGCTCCATTCCAGCCTTTACCTGTGATTAAAGAAGCATTCCACGGGGTTGCCATGGATATCATAGGGCCATTTTCCAGGCCATCCAAAAATGGGAAAATTAGCAGTGGTTGATTTTGCAACCAGATATCCAGAGGCAGTTGCCCTGTCAAATGTAGAAGCTGAGACACTTGGAGACGCACTGTTCGCTATATTCAGCAGATTGGGTTTTGCTAAAGAAATCCTATCAGAGAGAGGGTCAAATTTTATACCCCTAATATTTAGTCAACTGAGGAAGAAGTGTGGGGTAAAACAATTAGTCGGCCCCTTACCACATCCCGACAAACAGTCTAGTGGAAAGGTTCCCTAGGACTCTTAAATCCAATGCTAAGAATGTACATGGCCAGCACAGCTGGAGATTGGGATGAGTTCTTGCCTTAGCTATTATTGGCTTACAGGGAAGTACTCCAAGAGTCCACAGGGTTTGCCCGGTTTGACCTCCTTTATGGAAGACAGGGCAGGGGCCCCCTAGATCTTGTTAGGGACTCCTAGGAGGAGGGCTCTGAACCAGAGGGGGAACCCCTAGCTGAATATGTAACCAAGCTCGGAGAAGCTTTAAAATCCATGATGGATGTAGCACAGCAAAATCCAGGCTTCACAAAAAGGGAGGAAACACCTGGGAACAGGCATTTGCTGTGGGAGGCTTGGTACTCACGTTATTCCCAGTAAAGCAGCACGAGATGCAAAATTCTTGGGAAGAACCTTTGGAGGCTGTGGAGCAGGTTCATGAGGTTACTTATAATGTGCAGAAGCCCCTCAGTGAGGTTGCCCCTTAGACTGTACCCATAGACTAAAAGCTTATCACAACTGTGAGGCTGTTGAGAGTATGATATGGCGTAAAGAGGAGGACTGCATCACAGCCTCTCTAATAGATTTGGTGGTGGAGAGCTACGGGGAGAAGGTTGATATATGTGAAGGGTTAATCCCAAGGGAAAGGTTAGAAATCACGGCTGTGTTGGAACATGACCAGCAGGTGTTTTCATGCAATTATAGAGCCTAGTAGCCCCTGGGCATCCCCAGTTGTCATGGTCCCCCCAAAAGGATGGATCTATCAGATTCTGTGTTGAGTACAGAAAACTTAATGCTGTCACAGTATCTGCGCCTTACCCTATGCCAAGGACTCATAGACACTGAGGACTCGCTGGATGTATTAGGCAGTGCATGAGCTCTTTGGACCTTACCAAGAGATACTGGCAGATGTTATGTGGACTACGGGACCTCACACACGTATATAGATGATATCATCGTTCTTATCAGCACTTGGCAAGACCACAAAAATCATGTGGGCATTGTGTTGCAAAGACTCAAAGATGCAGGTTTGCTGGCTCAGGTGTTAAAATGCAAAATAGGAGCAGCTAAAGCCCCTTATTTTGGTCATTGGGTCAGGGGATGCAAATTCATCCCGATCCCCTAAAAGCAGAATCTGTTATTAACTGGCCCATACCCCAAACTAGTATCACAGATTTGTAGAAGGCTTTAGTGATATTGTATCAGTTATCACAGATCTCTGCAAAAAGAATGAACTAGACACAGTGGTTTGGTCTGGGACCTGTCAAAAGGGCTTTGATCAAATAAAAAAGGTCCTGTCCAAAAAGTCAGTTCTGGCCAGTCCTGATTTTAATAAAGTGTTTGAGCTGTGAACAGATGTGGGGCCAGTCCTGATACAAGCAGGGGAGAGCAACCCCATTGCATTCTTAAGCAAAATATTGACCACCACTGAACACTATTAATCCGTCATAGAGGTAGAGTGCTATGTGATTGTATGGGTTGTCAAACAGTGAAAACGTTACCTGTTCAACAGAAATGTGGGGTGTTAACAGCTCACTCTCCATTGGCGTGCTTGCACAGGACCAAAGGTACCAACTCTAGGCAGTTGTGCTGGAGCATAGTGCTGCAGGAAAATGAGATGGAGATTGTGCACATCAAGGGGAAAGAAAACATAGTAGTAATTGTCCTGTCCAGAAAAGAGAGCCCAGAACTGATGCCTGCAGAATAGCCAGTGGCTAGCCTTCCTGTGTCCATGTCCAGGGGGAGGCATGACACAGCGACTCCTTGGCAAAGGTCCCCTGTTCTTTGCAAACAACTCTTTTCTCAGACCTGACAAACTCACTACACCAAACATGTCTTATGGGATATTTATCCATAAAGAGTAACATGTAAAGGTACCTACAGAAAACTCATAACTCACCAAGATTCATACAGCAGGCAGGAGAGTGCCCTGGCCATGAATAAAGACAAAAGATTGTTTCAGTGTAACAGAGCGTAGGGAAAGGCATTCTGGATCCATTCACTGAGGAAATCCCTCAAGGAGCAGGTGGGCCTTTCATGAATAATGGGATCCTGATGCTTATGAAACCAGCCAGCTGTGCCACGGACTGGACTTTGCGGGGAAAGCTGACTTTATTAGATAGCAAAGGTAACTACTGATAAGTGTAGACCCAGGTTTGCATTTTATGATTTTATTTTGTGCTGGAACCAGTTGTTTCCCCTCGCTGTCTCTCACGTCTAGTGAACTCTCTATTCTTTGTTAAGAACATAAGCACGTCCATACTGGGTCAGACCAATGGTCTGTCTTCCGACAGTGGCCAATACCATGTGCTTCAGAGGGAATGAACAGAACAGGGCAGTTATCGAGTGATCGATCCCCTGTCGCCCACTCCCAGCTTCTGGCAGTTAGAGGCTAGGGACATCCAGAGCATGCGGTTGTGCCCCTGGCCATCTTAGCTAATAGCCATTGATGGACCTGTCCTCCATGAACTTATCTAACCCTTTTTTGAGCCCTGTTACAGTTTTGGCCTTCACAGCATCTTGTGGCAATGAGTTCCACAGGCTGACTGTGCGTTGTGAAATAAACCTATTTTTGTTTTATTAGAAGTGCTCCCAAGTGCTGTGTGGTTTACAGGTAAAACTGGTAGCCTGAGGGAGAAGAGGGACCATGGGGCCATTGTAAAAGGGGTCTGGAGAGCTGGGGGATAAGGCCACGGAACATCCCACTGAGGTGCCCTCTAGGGTGCTTGGGAATGGTGCAGGTGCAGGGCCAGTGCTGTTGTCAGGGGTGGAACCCTACATGGAAGTCCCTGAGACTCAAAGTGATGCCTAACATTGTCGGCAAGGACTTGGTATCCCAACTATGAGAGAGCAAACCCATTCTGCTGACAGAGAGGCACCAGGAAACCCTGCCAGCCTGGCTCGTTTGCATGTTTGGAAAGCAAAGGTGGTGCCATACGACAGGGCACCAAAAGCCCAAGAATCAGGCTGGCAGCATTGGTCCAGAGGAGGATCTCGCTCACTGTCCTGCAAACTGTTATGTCCCTCACGACCCACCTCACAACGTGCCACCGCCTGGCTGTGGGACAAAGACCCACATCGAGAGACCCAAAGGAGCGTATGTGCAGGAGACTGGAAATGCTGTGGGGACTCCCCCCGCTTTGTATAAATGACCAGCCTGTTACCTTCATGGCATGAATTGTATTTCTGATGCCAGTAATGTGCGGCGATAACAGAGACAGACATAAAGCTGGGTGAAAGGCAGGGAATTTGGTGCCTGAAATGAGTGACAGCTCTCCGGCCAGAGAAATAACAGGACTTGGGCATAGTGTCCATAGCCACAGAGATTCCAAGGCACAAGGGACCACTGTGATCTCTAGTCTGACTTCCTGTAAAACGCAGGCCAGAGACCTGCCCTGAATTAATTCCTGTGGAACTAGAGCAGAACTTTTAGACAAACATCCAATCTGGATTTAAAAATTGCCAGCGATGGAGAACCCACCCTGGCCCTTGAGGAGCTGTTCCAATGGATCCTCCCCATCACTGTTAACAAGGATGCCCTATTTCCACTCTGATGGGCCGGGGTTCT